CTTGATATTATAAAATTATTTAAGGGTCTAATTTATTACCTATTTAAATTGTTTGATTATATAGAGTATGAAAGTAACTAGTTAACATAGTATCTTTCTAAGAAATTTCTTGACACTTTTTCAATAATTCCAGTCAAATTGGCAATTGCTTTCATCTCTAATGAGTTGAATTCAGTCATAAATTAAACATTTCAATTGGACTATTATTGTAATAATTGAATCGATTTGTATTTTTATACGACTTTATGGGAAAGAGAAGATAATTTCTGAGAAGATGGGTCCTTTTTGTTTAATCATCTTTCATGGTGGGGTGTATCTCGTGGGAAAATAAACTAGGATAAGGTTTTGTGGGGGTGCCACCATTTCCATCATCTTTATTCTGCTCTCACTCTTTTTCATTCCAACACTATTTTTACCTAACATTTATGAGCAAGCGTTTGCCACTTGTCCTAGTAAATGTAAGTTCATTAATATAAGTTCATTAATGCAATTATATATTTTGTGTATTAGATACTCAAAACAAAATCAAAGTTTTATTTTATTTAATACAGATATTTTCACTATTGTTCAAGCGTTGGCTAATTGAACTTTCTCCTAGCAAATGTTCCTTACCTTTTGTTTTGGCATTTCCCAATATAAAGTGATGTAAGAATATTTTGTGCAATAATAAGATTATTATTCAGAGTCAGAAAAGGTTCAGCCAAGCATTTCTGGTATGCTACTTGCTAGTAGCCTTCATGTAAGCACAATTAACAGATTGCCTAGTGATATACCTTATGGTACTGATAATGTTGCCAACGCGTCATTGAAGGCTACTCAACCACGTCCAGTGGTTGTTGATTGACATTCCTAGCCGACAAGTTTTCAATTTTTTTTATATAAATGATTAATTTTAATTAAATAAGTATTTGTATAAAATAACAGAGGTATTTTGATAACTAACTAATACTTTATAAATTTTAGCTTAAGAAATAAGTAATTAAGAGAGAACATACAATAATTCCAAACTAAGATCAATATTATTTTTTTCATCATCAACATGCTTTTTAGATTTTGATAAAAGTTTTTTCTAAAAAGCACAATTTAATTTATGTTACTATCGTATAACAAGATAATATAGTGATATAGAACATTTAGTGGATGAGTTCTTGGAGAGAGTCAAGTGTTAAAAGCTCAAATATAGGCGTGCAAACTTAAAATAGTCATAACTTTTGATATAGGATGAGTTACGAGGCTCATAAGATATCAACAAAAAGCTCGTTTCAAGCCCGCCAACGTGGCAACCTTTTCCCTAGGTAGGTGTCGTTTTCAAGCCCAAAATCTACTATTTTGTCATGTTTTAGCGCTATCTAAGTTTTCTGTAAGTTTTTCCTATTTTATTTAGAGTCTTTTTTTATTTTATAATTATTTAACAGTTAAGATTTTATTTTCTTGTTTATTGGGAGTCTTGTTAGGATTGGTTGTTATCAACCTACATAAACATTTTTAGTCTTTTTTTAAAGATATAAAATATTTTCAGAATTTCCTTTAATCTTTGATTTAAGTTTTTACGTTTAAGACTTGTTTATCAGTCCTGAAAGACATAGTCGAGTGCTAGTTTTATTTTTACACTAAGTTGCTGCGTCATATAATGAGTGATATGATAACAATATCTTCAAATAATATTTTTGTCCCCATTTCATTTCATTTAATTTTCCTTTTGATTAGTCAAAAGTGGGCAGCCAACCGGTTGAATTAGATGGATATTTGTATTTTCTTCTTGGATAGTTTCATGTATTCGCGTGCATATATATATATATATATATATATATATATATATATAGAGAGAGAGAGAGAGAGAGAGAGAGAGAGAGAGAGAGAGTCTTCACTTTTCTCGTTTCTCACAACACACAAAATAATTAAATTATCTGTCAGCTTAACATCAAGTAGTGTTTGGTTAAGAGAATTTTATATTGTTGAGAATGTTATATTATTAAGAAAATAGATTACTTTGAAAATTACTGAAAATATTATATAAAATGTATTTGGTTAGATTAGAATAAATTGTTGGGTATGTTATATTGATATGTTTGATTGAAAGGAATAAACAAGTAAGTATGTTATATAGATTACTTAATTGCCTTTCTTAATTAATATTATAATTTAGATTGTTTTCCTAATCTTCTACATTTGAGAATTTAGCTAAACACAATCACAATAAAAGTTTAACAATTAACAAAAACATCCCAACTACCTAAGAGGACGGTCGATCACCAGCGGGCAGTCGGCAGTCAATAATTGTTGAAACGGTGCACGACCAGTCGGATCTGGTCATTTGTGCATCGATTTGGCTAGAAGCTGGCATATCTCTGGTTGTTGTTAACAACCAAATTTGGCCGTCAATGCTGGTTAGAGATCTAGCCGTTAATGACCATAATAGATTTGGCTGTTTCTAGCCAAATCCTCTGCCATTTGGCCATTTTTAACCATTGATCTGGTCGGAAACATCCAACTAGATCTGACTGGTTGTACGTGTTCTGACGACATCTGCCTGTCAGTGGTGGTGGCGACCAAGTTCGACATTCTTGTAAAATATTTTCAATACAAGGGCATTCTTGTCCAATAGTCGTGTGCAAGGTTAAAATAGTCCATAAATATTTTTGTAAATTGTTTGCAAAACAAGGGCATTCTTGTCCAAAACTTTTAAAGTTAAGGATAAAATTGTAACATAAATAAGACTATCAAATAATCTCAGAATACTTAAGAAAATGATGATATTTAGATTACCACCTATATAACCAACAACGATTACTTAGTTTTGAAAGATTACCAAAATCTTATATTACTTGTCAACTAAATATGGTAATGTAAGTAATATAAGATGGCAAACATTTGGCTTTTTGAAATGATAGAAATATCATGACTATGATGTCATTATTTCTAAAATAAATAATCAATATACAATTAAAAGATTAAAAGATAATGATCAAGCCACCAATAGTGGCCATATGGCCGGCTTCGATCTCGTCTAGCGGCCATATCTATGCCATGTCAAGCCGACCATGGCCATGTGGCCCCGCTACAGCCAGAGCTATTTTTTTCAATTTTCTTAATTTTTTTTTTCTATACATTAACTTTTTATCATTTTTTAATTGAAACGTTCACAATTTTATGGACTTTTTTAAAATTATTTGATTTATAAATTTTATTTTAAGTGCTTATTATATATAAGCTTATATTCATACCCTTACCTATGTTAAAGTTAATAGTTTTTCACCGTTAATTGTTTCTTTTTGGAAGAAAATGAAATTTATGTCCTTTAACATTAGTTTCTGAGAAAAGTAATTTTTAGTGAGACTTCATATTATTCAATCAAAGCCGCTCACCTTACTAATTTGGGTCCAATGAATTCTTAAAGACATTTCAAAGTAAGGATAAATGGTCACATATTATTTTTTTCTTGCCAATTGAATCTTCACTAAATCTTGTAGGTAGGACAATGTGTTTTCCAACCTTTTTTTTTTCCATTTTACAATCAACTTTATTAAAGAGAAATTATATTTGACCCCACTATTGTCTCACTATATTCTTTTATAATTTGATTCATTTGGACTACATTAGGTTGAACGGTGATTTTTGAATAATTTATGAAAAGTTAGGGCTGGTTTTTTATGAGTACCCCATATTGGGCATACTGCTAATAATTTTTCAGAACTTAAGAGTGAATTTTGAAATTAATATCATTTCATAGTATCCAGGTAATCATCCTAAACTAAATGCTGAACTTTCTTTTATTGCCATTTCCAAACTTTGATTTAGGTGACCGCATGTTCTTATCCCATGCACCAAGACATTTGTTGGGTGAAGTTTCGTCAGAAAGTGTTGGTTTTCTATTAATGCACAATATTTTATCATAAGGCCAGGCATATAATCCAAGACATTTGCTATGTGAAGTCACGTTAGAAAGAAGAGTTTCCTAATTAATTAAAGATGTTAATTTTATACTTGAAGACAATTTAGTCTTAAATATTCAACGATTTTTAAGGTTAAAGTATTAAAATTGAAAATTCCTATGTAGAGGCTGTTAATAATTGGAAGAGAGTTTATGATACTTTTTTAAGGGGTTTTTGTTAATTTCAGGAAAGTAATTAATACTTTCCAAATATCAATGAGATATTTGCGGCTTAGAATTATCTCAAGCGGCGGATGAGATTAAGCTGTTAATATGCATAAAAATCAATCATTGTCATAAGGGACTATTACAAATTTTGTATTGGTGCATACAATTAATTTCCAATAATTCAATATATGGAAAGAAAAAGATAATATAAAACAAAACCTGAAGTTGAAAATTGACCGAATCAGACGAAAAACAATGATTTGCACTAAGGCCATGAAATGGTACTAAAAGTTTTGAGTGTTGAATATATATTTTTTCTTCCAATCTCTGTTGGTCCTTACTCTCCCAGAAGAAAAGCAAACAGAGCACTCTGGTCCTTGAACACAGCTCTTAGACAAATATAGCGATTGAGGTGCCATTTCTTTATACTTCCAAACAAATTCCTTTGAATACTCTTTAACTATTCTTAATTTTCTGTCATTCTATTAGCCTTGCTTTGTATCCATAACTATCTTCAAACCAAAAAAAAAAAAAAAAAAAGATTTTTTGTTCATCGAGCTTTTTCTCATAAACACATTAGTTTCTGCTGTGGTTTCAATATTATTAATTTTCTATCATATTATTAGCTTTGCTTTACATCCAGTATCAAACATTGTTTTCAACTTCTCTTAATCCTTTTTTTGATCATATTCCCCATATTTCTGGTATCTGGCTTTTTTTTTTATTTTTTTAAACATTAGTTTTAGATTTTTTTTAATCTCATAAACATTTCTAGTATATCTCTTTTGTTAGTATTTTTTTTTTTTCTTGTCCTCCTAAGTAGCATTTGTCAGTGGCTTTCCTTGTTTAAACCAAAAAGAAAGAAAAGAAGAAAAAAAAAAAAAGTTGCAAGAATTAGGTAATGGCTGAAATAGCTACTGCTGCTGGTTCCAAAGCTGTAGAAAAAGTTACAGAGACCGTGTATGATTCCATTTGTCAGAAGATTTCCTATGTGTTCAAGTACCAGAACTATATGGAGAAGGCAAAGGAACGAGTTGAGGATCTCAAAAGTAGAAGACAAGATGTGGAAGCAGAGTCGACGTTGCTGAAAGACAAGGGGAAGAGATTTACAATGAAGTTAAAGACTGGCTGAGAAGCGTGGAAGGTTTTACGGAACGTGTAGTCAAGCTCGTTGATGATGAAGATAAAGCAAAGAGGCGCTGTTTCAAAGGACTGTGTCCTGATTTGATTAAACGATACAGGCTTGGCAAGGAAGCAGAGAAGGTTGCAGAGGATGGTGCCAAGCTCTTGGGCAAAGGAAACTTCGCAAAAGATTCCCATCTCCCTATTCTAAGGAGGACAGAATCCATATTTGTCGGCGAGGAGTGTGAGCGCTTTGACTCCAGAGAGTCCAATTTCCAGGACATCATCGAGGCGTTGAAGGATTCTAAGGTTAGTATGATTGGAGTGCACGGGATGGGTGGTGTGGGCAAAACCACGCTGGTCAAAGAAGTTGCTTGGAGAGCCAAGGAAGATAATTTATTTGATGAGGTGGTATTTACTGAGGTAACACAAACTCCCGATCTTAAACAAATTCAAGCCGACATTGCTGGTCAACTGGGCATGGTATTTAGGGACCAGGAGAGTCTATATGGAAGAGCTGATCAATTATGTGATAGGTTGAAGAAAGCCAAGAGAATCCTTGTAATAGTAGATAATATTTGGGAGAGGATTGACTTGAAGGCTGTTGGGATTCCTTTTAGCTACGATGATAAAGATAGCATCCAGCAATACAGGAAAGAAAGCAACGATGATCAAGTGCGATGCACAATATTGTTAACAGCTAGAACACTAGTTGTATTAAATCAAATGAAAACTCAGAAGTATTTATCTGTTGAGCCTTTAGCTGATGATGATGCAAGAAATTTGTTTGTGAAAATTGTTGGTGATTTAACAGATAAACGTGATATAGCTGCTGAAATAATAAAAAAATGTGCAGGTTTACCACTTGCAATTACAACAATTGCAAATGCTTTGAAAGGTAAGAGTGATCCTGTCTGGAGAGATGCGTTACATCAATTAAAAAGTTATAATCCAAGATGCATTCCAGAAATGAATAACACTTTATACTCAACTATTGAATTGAGTTACGCATTGTTGAACAGTGAAGAAGCAAAATTACTACTTCTACTTTGTGCTCTATTTAATAATAGACATGTCTCTTTCCTCTTGATATTTGGTATGGGGTTGGGCTTGTTTCAAGATGTTCATACGATTAATGACGGGAGGAATAGACTCAAGTCGCTGATTGATTATCTCGAAGATTCGTGTTTGTTGTTGAAAGGTAACAATAAAGAGAAGGTCAAAATGCATGACGTCATTCATCTTGTTGTTGCATCAATTGCCAAAGAGAAACGTATGTTCAATATTCAAGATGCTAATGGCTTTAAAGAAGTGTTGGTGAAGGGAAAGTACAAAGATTCGATTGCAATTTCTCTGCCTTGGATAGACATTGATGGGCTTCCTGAAAGGGTAAACTTTCCGAACCTTGAGTTATTTACTTTGCATCTTAAAAAACATCATTTTCTACAAATCCCAAACCACTTTTTTGAAGGGATGAAGGAACTCAGAGTTCTAGATTTGTATAATTTTCATTTACTACCACTACCTTCATCCTTTCTTTGCCTAACAAACCTTCAAACATTGGGTCTGGTGAATTGCACTTTAAGAGATATAACAATGATAGGAGAGCTAAGGAATTTAGAGATTCTTTGTTTTCTAAATTGTGAATTCGAACAATTGCCTGAAAGATTTAGTCAGTTGACACAACTGAAGTTATTACAACTATCTCAGTGTCCAAAGCTTGAAGTAATGACACCAAATGTCATAGCCAGCTTGTCTCGATTAGAAGAGCTATATATATATAACAGCTTTGAGCGATGGGAAGTTGAAGGACGGAATAACGCTAGTCTTGCTGAGTTGAAGAGATTGTCTCAATTGAACACTTTATGCATACATATCCTGAATCTGCAGCTTATACAACAGGACTTTATCCCTGAGAATTTAGAAAAGTATAAAGTACATATCGGAGATGCATGGGAGTGGTCTTATGAATATGAAACCTCGAGAACATTGAGACTCAAGTGCAATGGAAGTCTTCATTTGAGGTATGGGGTTGAAATTTTGGTGGAGAAAGCTAAATATCTCTATCTAGATCAGCTGGATGGTGTCAAGGATATACTTTCGGAACTTGACAGAGAAGGTTTCCCAGAATTAAAGCATCTCTCTGTACAAAATAGTTCTGAAATTTTGTATATTGTCAACTCAATGGCGTGCATTCCGTCTAATGATGCCTTTCCAATCTTAGAATCAGTGTTTCTTAAAAATCTAAGTAATATGGAGAAGATATGTTGTGGCCTAGTCGATGCAAAATCTTTTAGCAAATTAAGAATCATAAAAGTAGAAAAATGTGACAGGTTGATGTATCTCTTCTCTTCCTCCATGGCTGGAAACATCTTGCAGATACAAGAAATCGAAGTAACTAATTGCAAGGAGCTAAAGGAGATTATTGGTCAAGAAAATGCAGACCATTTTGATGAAAACGAACGGAATTGTAAGGTTGAGTTTAAACAATTGCATTCCCTAGTACTACAATGCCTGCAACAGTTCATAAGTTTTGGCTTGAAGGTATGTTTTGCCTTTTCTTTTCCCTTTTATTTTATTTTACTGTAAAATTAGGTGTTCTTTAATTAGTTTCTACGTTATTTATGGAATGAGATTTGTTTATGCAGGTTGTGTTGCCAAGATTGGAGAACTTGAAATTGTCGTCAATTAATATTGAGAACATATGGGTTGATCAACCTCAACCAAGAATTCAATGCTTAAAAAGCTTAACTGTGGAGGAGTGTAATGGTTTGAAGTTTATGTTTTCATCCTTTATAGTCAAAAGTCTCGTGCAACTCCAAAGGCTTGTGATATGCAACTGTAAGTTGATGGAAGCAGTAATTTTTGACTTAGAAGGTTTAGAAGGAGAAGATAAGATAATTGATTTGAGTTTTCCAAAACTATTCTACCTAAAGCTTGTCGGTCTTCCAAAACTAACAAGATTTGGCACTGGAAATTCAATTGAATTCCCCACCTTGAATGAACTTCACATTGAGAGTTGCTCTAATTTGAAGACATTCTTCCACAACTCTTTTGGTGTAGACACGTTAAAAAAAGAACCTGAAGAAGTGAACTTGGAAAAACATATTACTGATATAAATCCCCTCTTCAATGAAAAGGTAAAGTTATTTCTTATAACTGAAATTTGATGTAGTCTATTGGCCTCAGAATTTTAAAATTCTTTATAGCTATTAATGTCACCATTATCTACAAATAATTAGTAGAAATTCACTTATAACGCTCTTCTTTTGTTTTCATTTTTTCTTTTACGAAAAAGTCCAAATCTATTTGATATGTTTTTATTGTCTAATGGTCTCAAATTATTATTTTATTATCATTGTCATTATCATTATCAAAACATTAACACGAGGAGATGTTTTTTGTAGGTTGCTTTTCCAAGCTTGGAGAAGATGATACTCTTACACTTGGATAACATGAAATTGATATGGCACAACCAACTCTATGGAGATTCCTTTTCCAAACTAAAAGAAGTGAGAGTCGAATTCTGTGAAAAATTGATGACTATTGTTCCTTCTAATTCTACTAAGGGACTTCTTACCTTTCACAATCTGGAAACATTAACTATTAAGAACTGTTGGAATATGAAAATTTTGTTTCCAGTTTCCATAGCTACTGGTCTTTTGCAACTTAAAAAGCTTTGGATTTCCTCTTGTGGGTTGGGGGAAATTGTTGCCAAGGAGGAAGTAGATGGGACCCCTAGATTTTTGTTTCCTCAATTAACCCACCTCAAACTTGATAGTTTACCAAAACTCAAACATTTCTACCTGGAGTTGCATACAATAGAGTGGCCAATGCTTAAACAGTTGTTCGTTTATAATTGTGAAGAGCTAAAAGTACATGCTTCAGATGGAGAGAGCCAACCTGCCCTTTTTTCGTTTGAAAAGGTATGATTCTCCTGTTGCCACTAAAAAAGGCAACATAATCATTTATTTGTGACATTTCTTTCTTTTTGTTATTACTTCATTTTTCTCTTCAAACCAATGGAGTGTGGATTTATTGAACATATTGATCATGTTTTAAAGTAAGATACAAATTTTGTTAATTAATATAGTTCTTATATTTTTAAAGTACTTTATAATCAGGTTGCCTGAATTATATTTATTTGGAACATATAAATAATATAATTAATTGAAAAAGTTAAATGGCTAAGAAGTGGCACCCTTTATATACCAAATTTGACTTGTGAACTAGTTGATGAATGGATATTCTTGTTTGTTCATTAATTTTCAGGTCATACCCAATCTGGAACAGTTGGGTTTAAATGCTGACAACATTGCATCTAGATGCTTGGATCGTATTCCAGCTAGAAGCTTTAAGAAACTTAAATTTCTTAGGTTGGTTAAGTGTGATAATGAATCAATAGCATTTTGGTTTGGCGTTCTTCAAAAATTGAACCAGCCAGAAACACTCTATCTAAGTGCTGGTACTTTCCAAGAACTTGATTACCAGGTTGACACATCTCTTCAAAATCTTCAAACTTTGGGATTACAGAGATGTCATCGTTTGAAATATCTAATGCCATCTTCAACAACTTCCTTCAAAAACATTAAGAATTTGGAAGTCCACAATTGTAATGGATTGGCATATATATTAGCATGCTCAGCAGCAAGAACTCTGGCCCATCTCACAAAAATCAAAATTGAAGAGTGCAAGTTAGTGACAGAGGTAATAGCGAGTGAGGTAGAGACAACGGAAGAGGAGATTGTTTTCAGCCAATTGAAAATTCTAGAGTTTCATAGTTTAGCGAGCCTCACAAGCTTTTGCTCGGCCAATTACGCTTTCGAATTCCCATGCTTAGAACAAGTAATTGTGAGCCAATGCCCCAATTTGAAGATCTTTTCTCAAGGAGGCTTAAACACACCAAAATTGAAAAGGGTACAACTAACAGAGAAGATCAATGGAGAATATTTGTGGAACGATGACCTTAATTCCACTATCCATCATATGTTTACAAATATGGTATGTACTTATTCACAAATCTTTTTCTTTTCTTCTGCATCATATTCATTGCTATTAATCTCTCTCTCTCTCTCTCTCTCTCTCTCTATATATATATTTGTGCCCCTAGCTACCAATTAGCTTAAGCTTTTTAGATAAAGATAAAGTAGTAGTTTAACATTACTTTGGGTCTTACGTGATAAGGTCCAAATGTTATAATGCAAAATTGGGTATTAAAAGTTTATTAGAACAATTTATTACTAAACAATGTACATAAATTTTTGGTTCATCAATTTTAGTGTAGAATGTATAAAGCCTAACCAATGGAGAAATTAAAATTGAGAAACCAAATCATGCTGTTTGTTCTTGTTCTGCAAAATTGCCAGAATAATATCACTTTTGTAATTTTGTACTGTTCAGCATAATGTTTTTAGACATAGAAATGTATTTTATATTCTTCTTTTCCACAAAGTTCCTTTGCATTTGTTGCCGTTGTTGTATATTTCTATTGAACATGCAAAATTTTTTATTATTAATATATTTGAAAATTTACTTTCTCTCTCTCTCTCTCTCTCTCTCTTTTTTTTTTTTTTTTTTTTTTTTGTTATTAATCTGAAAAAACAATGTCTCTATAAGGCCTTGGCATTAGTCCTTCAAACTACCAGTATTTAATGTTTTAAAACCATAGTAAAGGGATCAGAAGTAACTTTTTGGGTGGGCTAATAATATTTTAAATATGCATTAAAATAGTATTAATCTTGTTGATATGAACAAATTGCATTCATAGAAAAATAAGAGAAACACACACTTATATTATATATATAGAGGCAGAGGAAGGTAGGACTAATTAAAAAAAAATAGATGACAAATTTACCAAAAGTATTTGACAAATTAAGGAATTAATTTTTTTATTAAGACCAGGAGATTCCTTTTTAATAAATTAAAGATAATAACATGTAATAAATTCTAAATTTAGATATAATTAAATTTTTAAGATAAATTTTTTTTTTCTAAAATTTTAGGATTGATGTGAATTCATATTGTTAAGCTTAAAATACCTTTTTTAAATTTTTTTACACTTCTGCCTTTTCTAACACGTTTTTACCTTTTTTTTTTTTTTTTTTTTTTTTTTTTTTTTTTTTTGTAGCTTGGTTTTCACAACTTAGAACATTTGAAACTCTCTGAATACCCCAGATTAGGAGAAACAGTTTGGAATGTTCAAGTTCCTTCTGGCATATTCAACAATTTGAAGTCGTTGGTTTTGGACGTGTTTTTAGATACCTTAACTGCAATTCCATCGAGTGTGTTAAGCGCCTTTAAAAATCTGGAAACACTAGAAGTAAGAAGTTGTGGTTCGCTAAAAAAAGTGTTTGATATGGATACACAACAAAATGCTGATGGACATACATTGAAGAAAACTAATCAAGAAGCTTTGGACTTCAACAACCTGAAATCGCTCAAAGTTCACAATTGCTGCAACTTGAGATATATATTTTCTCCGTCTATCATCTCAAGTCTTGCTCAACTCCAAGAGATAGAAGTTAAAAATTGTGCTTTGATAGAAGAAATCATCACGAAAGAAGAAGAAAAGGAAGCACACATTGAGGAAATTAGAATCCCCCAACTAAACTCCATTGTTCTTGAGTCATTGCCAAATTTGACAAGCTTCTGTTCAGGAATTAATGCTTTGGAATGCCCAGCCTTGAAAGCTATTACAATGGCCAAATGTCCAGAGATTGAGACATTTATTTTCACTAATATGAAGGACCAATCTGACAATATTGCACCCCTTTTCAGTGAAAAGGTCAGTATATCTGAAACTCTTTTAGCACTCTTTTAATTTTATTATCTTTATAATTATCTATGTTGTTATCACCATCTACAGTTATTAGAAATTCGATTGTTATGCATGGTTGAAAATAATTTATTGTTTAGCTTCAATATACTTTTGTTCAATGGTTTTTACGAAGATAAATTTTTTTTTTTTTAATTTAATAACCTTAAAATTATCACTTTCCAATATATTTTGGAAAGCTTACCTCGAGATATTTTTTATAGGTTGCTTTTCCAAGCTTGGAGAAGATGATACTCTTACACTTGGATAACTTGCAGTTGATATGGCACAACCAATCCCATGGAGATTCCTTTTCCAAACTAAAAGAAGTGAGAGTCGAATTCTGTGAAAAATTGATGACTATTGTTCCTTCTAATTCTACTAAGGGACTTCTTACCTTTCACAATCTGGAAACATTAACTATTAAGAACTGTTGGAATATGAAAATTTTGTTTCCAGTTTCCATAGCTACTGGTCTTTTGCAACTTAAAAAGCTTTGGATTTCCTCTTGTGGGTTGGAGGAAATTGTTGCCAAGGAGGAAGTAGATGGGACCCCTAGATTTTTGTTTCCTCAATTAACCCACCTCAAACTTGATAGTTTACCAAACCTCAAACATTTCTACCTGGAGTTGCATACAATAGAGTGGCCAATGCTTAAACAGTTGTTCGTTTATAATTGTGAAGAGCTAAAAGTACATGCTTCAGATGGAGAGAGCCAACCTGCCCTTTTTTCGTTTGAAAAGGTATGATTCTCCTGTTGCCACTAAAAAAGGCAACATAATCATTTATTTGTGACATTTCTTTCTTTTTGTTATTACTTCATTTTTCTCTTCAAACCAATGGAGTGTGGATTTATTGAACATATTGATCATGTTTTAAAGTAAGATACAAATTTTGTTAATTAATATAGTTCTTATATTTTTAAAGTACTTTATAATCAGGTTGCCTGAATTATATTTATTTGGAACATATAAATAATATAATTAATTGAAAAAGTTAAATGGCTAAGAAGTGGCACCCTTTATATACCAAATTTGACTTGTGAACTAGTTGATGAATGGATATTCTTGTTTGTTCATTAATTTTCAGGTCATACCCAATCTGGAACAGTTGGGTTTAAATGCTGACAACATTGCATCTAGATGCTTGGATCGTATTCCAGCTAGAAGCTTTAAGAAACTTGAATTTTTGGTGGTGGTAAGTGTGAAATGAATCAATAGCATTTTGGTTTGGCGTTCTTCAAAAATGAACCAGCCAGAAATACTCTATCTAAGTGCTGGGTACTTTCCAAGAACTTGATTACCAGGTTGACAAATCTCTTCAAAATCTTCAAACTTTGGGATTACAGAGATGTCATCGTTTGAAATATCTAATGCCATCTCAACAACTTCCTCAAAAACATTAAGAATTGGAAGTCCACAATTGTAAGGATTGGCATATATATTAGCATGCTCAGCAGCGAGAACTCTGGTCCATCTCACCAAATCAAAATTGAAGAGTGCAGTTAGTGACAGAGGTAATAGCGAGTGAGGTAGAGACAACGGAAGAGGAGATTGTTTTCAGCCAATTGAAAATTCTAGAGTTTCATAGTTTAGCGAGCCTCACAAGCTTTTGCTCGGCCAATTACGCTTTCGAATTCCCATGCTTAGAACAAGTAATTGTGAGCCAATGCCCCAATTTGAAGATCTTTCTCAAGGAGGCTAAACACACCAAAATTAAAAAAGGTACAACTAACAGAGAGACAATGGAGAATATTTGTGGAAGGATAGACTAATTCCACTATCCATCATTGTTTACAAATATGGTATGCGTATTAACAAATTTTTATTTTCTTCTGCATCATTGCCTTTAATCTCTCTCTCTCTCTCTATGATATATATATATATATATAATTATTATATATATATATATATATATAATGTACGTGAATTTTTAGATAAACATTAAAATTGAGAAACCAAAAATCATATATATATATAATGTACGTGACTTTTTAGATAAACATTAAAATTGAGAAACCAAAAATCATGTTGTTTGTTCTTGTTATGTAAAATTGCCTGAATAATATAACTTTTGTAATTCTGTACTGTTCAGCATAATGTTATTGGACAAAGAAATATTTTATATTCTTCTTCTCCACAGAGTTCCTTTTGCCTTTCTTGTTGTATTATATTTCTATTGAACGTATAAAATCGTCATTATTAATATACTGGAAAACGTTTTTTCTTTTTCTTTTGTATTAACCGATATATTAATATGAAAAAAAAAAAGACTTCATGAGGCCTTGGCATTAGTCCTTAAAACTACTAATATTTAATGTTTAAAACCATAGTGAAGGGATTAGAAGTAAACTTTTGGGTGGGCTAATAAAATTTTTAAATACGCATCAACAATAAAGATACGGACAAACATTTCTCACAAATGCGACATGACAATTCGTAATTGGTTAGGACTCATTGTTGAGCAAGTGGGACCCATTACGAGCTTATCAATTGTAAGCTGACATGTCACATTTGTGAGCGAAAATTAGTGAGAAATGTTTATCAACATAGTATTATTCATGCATTATAAGTTAGTATTGATCTTAAATTGCATTAGTAGAAAAATAAGAGAAATAATTTATTTATTTTTTAAATTAAGAACTTAAAAAAATGCAGGAAAAGAAATGTAGAACTAAACAAAAAGACAGTAGACTATATAGGCCAAACCAAATCAGAAAATTAAATTTAAGATCAAAACCATGCAATTATATTTCTCCTTCTGGCATTTCAATGTTATTATATATACAACTATTTGATATTTTCATGTTTTCTTTGTCTAGTGAGTAGTACATAAATTTCAGAACGTTCCACGGTATTTCATGCCTAAGTGGTGGGTGGTCTTAATAATTAGGGCACACAATTTAAGACTTAAAAAAAAATTGTATTAGAAATTATATATGAATAATGCTATAGTTACAACAGAGTCATACGACCAGACAAAAAACATAGGATAGAGTAGTCATTTTACATTAATTTTACGCAATTTTTGTCTGATTGCATGACTAAATTGTAAGTATAATATTATTCATTAAATATATACGGCCATAATCTCAATAGTTTTTGTATGACCTTAAAATGTGTCTTAAAATGCATGTAAAACCACCCACATTAATACTTTTATATGAGTAGTTTGTAGAAGACAATTATGTTAAGGAATTTAAAACTTGTTAATTAGGAGTTACTACATCCTTGTCAACCTTCGGTATTAAAATTTCGTTGACAATAATATGAATTCTGTGCTTAAACGTAAAATAGTATTCTTATGCTTAAACATAAAAGAAAACATATGGAATGTGCAATGTTTTAACTAACTCAAATATTTTGGATTTTGTAGGTTGGTTTTCGTGAATTTGGATATTTGAAGCTTGGTGAATTTCCCACTTTAAAAGAAAACATATGGAATTGCAAAGTTCCAATTGATTTGTTCTGCAATTTGAAGTCACTAGTGCTAGATGGGCTTTCTGATAGTGCAACAATTATTCCATCCAATGTGTTAAGCTACTTCAAAAATGTGGAAACGATAGAGGTAAAAAGTTGTGATTCACTGAAAGAAGTGTTTGATATGGAAGAGCAACTAGATTATGTTGCAGCAAAGAGAAGTCATCATGAAATTTTGGACTTCAAAAATCTGAGATCATTGAAAGTTGATAATTGCAACAACTTGAGATATATATTTACTGCATCTTTAGTCTCAAGCCTCGTGCAACTCGAACAGATAGAAATAAAAAGTTGTGCTTTGGTTGAAGAAGTCATTACAAAAAAAGGGGAAAAGGATGCGGGCATTGATAAAATTAAAATCCCTCTATTGAAGTCCATTAGTCTTGAGTCTTTACCAAATTTGACAAGCTTCTATTCAGGAAGTAATATTTTGGAATGTCCTCCCTTGAAAAACATCATCATAAAAGACTGTCAGAATATACATTTGAAGGACTTCAGCCTCCATCTTCCATCCCTTTTCAGTGAAAATGTAAGTTTGTTTGAGTTTTATTTCCAAGATTAGTTTTATTAAAGAAATTTACATAGTGTAAAATAAATTGAAGTATCATAGATAATGTTATTCACAAAACAATCATAATATCTGCAGGTTGAGTTTCCTACCATGGACGACTTAACATTACCGTCAATCATCACTGAGTGGATATGGCAGAGCCAACTGCCAGCAACATCTTCTTGCTTTGAAAAGTTAACAATCTTGGTCATCGATGGCTTTGATCATTTAAAATATTTTTTCTCTTCTTCAATGGTCAAAAGCCTTTTCGAATTGAAGGAGCTTGAGATATCCAATTGTAAGTTGATAGAAGGAATTATAGTTGAAGATGAAGAGAGGACGAGTACAATGCTGTTTCCAAAATTATACCAGCTGAAGCTTAGAGATCTTCCAAAACTCACAACATTCTGCAGCTCCACTGGAAATTTTGTTGAATTGTCCTCCTTATTCAGATTGTGGATTGACAATTGTCCTGGTATGAAATCATTTGTCTCCATTTTTAAATGGAATGACAAGACATCAACCAAGAAACTTGAAGAAACGAACTCAAATGAGAACCTCCACGCTCACATGCAATCTCTTTTTGATAAAAAGGTGATTTGTCTCTTTTTTCTTTCACATTTATTCCCTTCCTTGTTCACACTTTCTGGAGATTCAAGTTAATCTATTTTCTCATTTTTTTTCATCATATCTCATATCGATGTTTATAAGTAATTGATAATCGGTATATTGTTATTGTAATTGTAATTGGATTCTTCAGGTAAGGCTCCCTTGTTTGGAGAGATTGCAAATCAGTTATGCTGATGAATTGGTAAAAATATGGGACGATCAGGTCTCTTTGGATTCCTTCAGCAGTTTAAATCGTGTGCTTGTACGGTTTTGTAAAAAACTTGTAAATGTTTTTCCACCTAACATGCTTGGGAGACACCAAGAACTAGAGTGGCTGGAAGTACAAAATTGTGATTCAGTTGAAGAGATATTTGAATTGCTTGAGAAAAGATCTGTCTTGGTGGAGGAGATTGTTGCCAGTGAAGAAGCAGGTCATAGATTTGTGTTCTCCAAATTAAAAGGCTTGTATCTACAGATGCTTCCAAATCTCAAAAGTTTGTACCCAAAAATACATATTTCAGAATGGCCGGTTTTAGGCAAGTTGAAGGTACATGGATGTAACAATGTGGAGACTTTAGCTTCAGAATTTCTGAGCATCAGAGAGACTCATGGACAGAGTCAAAATGAGACCCCAAATCAAAAACCACTGTTTTTGGTTGACAAGGTATGTAGAAGGCATTGTAACTAAATATTCATTGACCCTATAAAAAATTTGGTTCTCTCTTCTACTTGTATAATAATTTAACCCTATAAAAATTTTAGTCTTTTTTTTAAACTCCAAATTGACTTAGAGAAGGATGCTTATCTATGAACTAGAATAAGTGCATCAAATTCAAGTGACTTGAGTTTTTCTTGGTATTTCCAATCATTTAGTGTGATATTCGGTTGCACAACACCTTTGTATAATCAATTTACTTCTATTTATTTATTTATTTTTGTTTAATAAGAATTCCGTTTTTGTATTTTGCATTTTTCTATATAGAACAAATAAGAAAAAAAAGTCTATTTCAAATTGATTACCTTTCTATACTATTAGAAGCCTATTTCAAAGTGATCACCTTTTCATACTACTAGTCTATTTCAAAGTATCTAATAAACTTTTATATATTACATTAGGTGTTGTTATCAAGAAATTAAAAAAAGAAAAAATCATACTAGAAGCCTATTTGAAAGTATCTAATAAATGTGTAGTGTTATTTGCATTTGAAAGTATTTTTTTTTTTTTTTTTTTTTTTTTTTAATGGGATAAAACTAAGTCCCCAAGTATCTCTAATAACGACACTATATTTAAGGGGGCCTAGATTGGAAGAGCTTGAGCTATGTGATTTGAAATGCTACCCACCTATACTAATCATCTCTTCTTTTTTGTTTCACGTTACTTTCTTGTGATTTTTTAGGATGCATTCCCTAGATTGGAAGAGCTTGAGCTATGTGAAATGCCCAGATTGTTGCATCTATGGAGAGGAAATGCTCAACGTAACAATGCCTTTCAGAATCTGAAGACTCTAAAACTATCAGAATGTGGCAGTTTAGATAATTCATGGTCATCATTAGTGTCTTTCCAAAATTTGGTGAGTTTGCAAGTATCAAAGTGTGATGGATTGAGATATTTACTAAGCCTCTCAAAAGCTAAAACTCTGAAGTGGCTTACAAGTATGAATATATCTGAGTGCAAAGCGATGGATCAAATTATATCCAATTTGGAAGGTGAAGTGGTGGAGGATTCATCAGTAGCTTTCAACTATTTGAATAATTTGGAAATTCATTGTTTACCAAGCCTTACAAGCTTTTGTGGTGGAGATATTAGTCTTGATTTTCCGTCACTGAGAAAAGTAATTGTCAAACAATGCTTGAAGATGGAGACTTTTTCTCTTGGAGTTTTAAGCACGCCTAAGCTGCAAACGTTACAATTGATAGAAGGAGAGGATGAAGTAGAAGAATTTGGGGAAGGCAACCCTGAACTTAATTCTGCCATACAGCAATTGTTTAATAAAAGGGTATGTAGTGATTCACAAAATTATCACATGCATTTCCCTTGCACTTTCTGATTTGCTGAAAATATTTCTTCTTTGGTATATTATTGCGATTGATGTATTAATCAATTGCTTTAATCCTCTTTCTTTTATTTTGTGAATTCAATATGCTTTGGCTATGATTACAGAATGTGCAAAGTTCTAAGGAAGATTAAAGCCATTCTTCGTGTGCAAGATCAAATTTGTTTATATTGCTTCAGATAGACTACAGCTCCATTTTCCTGAAGATGAAGAGGATTTTTCATTCTGCTATCTTCATTGATGTTGTCTTGAAATTTGGTTGAATAGAGTAATGCCCTCTTATTGCACATTCATCCTATTGCTTTACTGCTTGGATTTGTTTTATGCATTTTGATTTCTCCAGTTGTCGAACAATTTTTCAATACATTGTTTTGTGAATTTCTGTTTTAACACATTATTGGCTCTATCAACACTGAGTTTCTGGAAATCACAAGTTTTGTTTGCTGTAGGTGCTCATGAACTTGAAGATCATCTAACAGGTTAAGTTGTTTCAAACAACTTGGCATCCTTGTTTAAGTTGTTCTTTTTTGTTCATTGGTGTAACTCCAATGCTTAAAGAAGCCATCAGAGGAGCGTTTTTCTATTGTAAAAAAGGACATCCTTTTTTGTATCATTTCCAAACAAGTTGACAAACTTGCTGGATACGTAAAATGGATCCTTTCTTTTCCATCCATCACTTTTGACATGTTTAAAAAGAATAGTGTGCCATCTAATTTCTTATAGCATGTTCAAATTGGTTCTCTTTTTTTTTTTTTAAAAAAAAAAATATTGAAATGGATGATTCTGTCGTTTATAGTCGAAAAGAAGAGTCACAAGAGTTTTCCAAACCATAATTACATATTTCCCTTTTAAGTATTAGTGAGGACTATAGCATTTATTCTAGTGTTTTAATAAGTTACAGTTGGTTTTCTGTGTTTGTTGGACAGATATCTCTTTTTCTAATCAGAAATGGGGCACGATATAAATGTGGAAGGCAATGATACACTCTGCCTGGGGTCCTTAATTAGAAGATTTAGACCAAAACTAGTAGATGCCACAAACACTATGCTTCATCTTGAACAATGAATTTCTTCGGTTATTTTGCAAATTTTGACTTCAAAAGTTATTTATAGTAAGAGAAGTGAGCATAATTGTTGCATTTGTAGTTGAAGATTTAGTTGGATTCCCACATTTGCAATTTAGGAGGTTTTTGCTACTGCCTTCTGAAATTTTTTGGGAGGTGTTGGTGATCAAATGTTGAAATTTTGGTAGCTGGAGAGTTATGGGGATGTTTGTGAAATTCTGTTGAAGCCTCTACAAAGCTTATGATTTTCAAGCCTACAGGCATGGTTTGTGGAGACTAGAAGGAAGCTGTGATTTCAGAGGTATATTTTTTATTTTGAAATTCTTTTTTTTGCAACAAATTTTCATTTTCTAATGTTGAAATTTTGATATTCCCCAATCATTTCTGTTTACTAGTCTAATTGTTTTACTTCTAATTTTAACTGTTTTCATTTCTAAACTAGTGTAAATTCTTTAATTGAACTGATAATTTTTATATTCTTATTCTCGAACTTGAAATATCCATGTCCTAAGGGTTAAATCTTACCTCTCTTGAAGGGCTCCTGAACTTTGGTGGAGATCAGCAGCCCTTATACTGTACACGATAAGCTGTGCAACAAGGTGAGTGAGGAGGCACACAGCTCATAATCCATGGATTGTTTGAAAGGGCAATGGCAGATTAGCTATTCATGTCTACCTGTGGTAAGAGCTTCTTCCTTTGATGAGGTTCTGAACATGCATTATTGTTTACTCATCTTTGAATATTGGAAGAACCAAGAAGATATGCAACTAATTCAGTAACAGACCAAATTTAAAAAAAAAAAAAAAAAAAATTAAAATTAGAGGATGAAAATTTCTTGCTCATGATACAAATTATTAAATTTTGAAATCCTGTTTGTGCTACTTCATGATGTGGGTGTTGTTGGGCTCTTCTTTCTTGGGCTTGCAGGTCATCAGTGGCCTGGCTTGATGAGGGTGTTAGTGGGCTTGTCTTGGGTGGGTGGGCTTGCAGGACGGGATGTTGCATTTAGGCAAAATTACTTATATCTACTTGAATATCACAAGTATAGCTTTGATTTGCTGTTGTAGAATGCTTGGGTGCTTGATTTAATTAAAAAATTTATTGTATGTTAATGTATTGTATTTTGTTGTGTTGATATTTATTTGCTTTGGTTGATTAGTTAAATGGGTTCATGATTTCTTGGGTTTGTTAATTTGCTTGTGAATGGCTATCATGTGTTTGACAAAATTCCCCATTGAGAAACACACCCATACACTCAATTAATTAAAAGTTTGGCCACATCTTTGTTCACAGATTATTAAATTTGCATTAATTAACGTTTCCATGCTTTTCATAGAGGAATTAGATTGGTTACAATGATCAAACAAAGCAATTCCATTTGTCATATCACTTCCTTGCTGTCTGCGTTGTGATATTCTTTGCAGAATCTCTCGTTCGCACACGCTCTCTTTGTTCGGTACTAGAAGATATTCAGGTAAATTTATTTTTATGTCAATTCTTGTTCCATTTTTCTTGATGTTATAAGGTTTACTGCGATAACTTTTCTGGGGTTTTGATTTTCTTTGGCGTTTTCTAGAAATTTATTTATAGAAAAGGAAGAAAATGAGTTTTTTTTTTTTTTTTGGTTGGCTTATGGAAATTTATATGTTTATTTACTTTGAATATGATAGAAGATTTAGGAGAAAGTTAGGGATTTTGTTGTAGGTAGGATAGAGCCAGTGAGATGAAGAATGCTTAATGTTTGTAATTAGGATGAACAAACTGGAATGTATTCTTAGTATTACAGTTGAAATTATATAAATTAGTTATTTCTCTAGTCATGTGGTATGTGACAGTTCAATGTAGTTGATTTTTGTGACAGTTAAAGGGACAGACATTTTGTATGCAAAATGACTAATTCTTCTGCCGGACAATCCTGAAAACAAAAGGCAGGATCCTTACAGCCTAATGAAACAACTTCCTTTAAGCGTAACCGATGAGTCTTTCAAAAAGATTGTGAGTAAATGCATTACGTTTCTGTTTTAAATAACCTCTTTTCTGGGAGTTCTATTACTATTTTTGTATTTTTACTCATGTATTTTGGTACTGCAGTGCAGCACATGATGTACGATTTTGGCAATGATCCTAATGTAAGTAATGGTAGCTGTCTTTCAACTTTTTTTTTTTTTTTTCTCCCCTTATCAACAGGATTGGGACACTGAATTGTGTTGTTGAGCAATCTCAAATTTAGTGATTTGGTTGTTGTGCATGGAACTGTGTATGCTAATTGATGAATCTATTATCTACTAATTTTATTTTTTATTCATTTGGATATCTCCAAATCATAACTTTTAAATTTAAGCTCTCTTAGCAGCCTCTATCAGACCTGAATTACCTCATTTCCCTGCATGCCCTAATTTTCATATGAAGCTACTCTGATGTTCAGATTCAGCTGATTGCCGTTGTCACTTGTTGTTCATTCGGTTGACTCTAGCCAGTTGGTTTTAGGGGATTTTGTGAATTTGGTAAGATAAACCCAGAAAATAGTTGGCAAGAATCTTTACATACTTTTTTAAGTTTGCACCAAAATAATGTGAAATTTGTTTGCAGTGTTTATTACCTGTTTTAAGTGGCCTGTAGCTGAAACTTTTTGTAGTCTGCATAATCCAGAAATGAAATAATCTTTTTCAAGCCTCCTGAACGTATGTCCTGCAAACACATACCTGCATGCATAGACATATATTGTATATACTCTCTCTCTCCCTGAACAGATATCAGCTTCTTAATGAATGGATGTATATATCACTTGAATGACTATTTCAAGCCATCATATAATCCATGCTTATTAACAGCTAGGAACCTTGGTCTCCACATGGTCACATTTTACTTTTACGTGATTCACGTGGAACTGTTGTTATTTTGTTATTGGAATGTATAATGATATGAATTTTTGTCTTTTAAATTGTGTGTCTAGTTTGATATATTATGAATTTCTTGTTTTCTTTCATTCAGCCACTTCCACAAACTTTGACACTTGTGGAGTAAATAGTTGTGGAATATGTCACAAATTTGGTACGCATTCTTTCTACTTAGTACTCATCTTTTTTGTTTCTCTGATAAGATGACACTGTAGGTGTGATGGCTATATATGCCACTAACATATTTACTCATTAATTAGGTGAAATAGAGGTATTGTTATAAACTGAAATTTTTTCTTCTTTGGTATATTATTGCGATTTATGTATTAATCAATTGCTTTAATCCTCTTTCTTTTATTTTGTGAATCCAATATGCTTTATTTATGATTACAGAATGTGCAGTGTTCTAAGGAAGATTAAGGCCATTCTTCATGTGCAAGCTGGAATTTGTTTGTATTTCTTCAGATAGACTGCAGCTCCATATTCCTGAAGATGAAGAGGATTTTTCGTTCGGCTATCTTCATTGATATTGTCTTGAATTTGGTTGAATAGGGTTAGTGCTCTCTTATTGCACATTCATCATGTTTCTTTACTGCTTGGATTTATTTTAGGCATTCTGATTTCTCCCGTTGTTGCACAATTTTTCAATACATTGTTTGTGAATTTCTGATTTAATGCATTATTGGCTCCATTAACATTGAGTTTCTGGTCTATTTCCATGACTTTGTGATCAATTACTTTGTTTTCTCTGTTTCTGTCATCATATTAGAGCTTTTAAATTGACTATGCTTAATCTTGAACGATGAATTTCTGGGGTTATTTTGCAAAGTTTGACATCAAAAGTTATTTTTGGTAAGAGAAGTGAGCATAATTGTTGCATTGTATTTAAAGATTTAGTTTGATTCCCTCATTTGCATTTTAGTAAAGGTTTCTGCTACTGCTTTATGAAAATTTTTTAAAGGTGTTGGTGATCGAATGTTGAAATTTTGGCAGCTGGAGAGTTATGGGTTATGGGGATGTTTGTGAAATTTTGCTGAAGCCTTTTCAAAACTTATGATTTTCAAGCCTATTGCCTATAGGCATGGTTTGTGGAGACCAAAAGGAAGCTGTGATCTCAAGGTATATTTTTCTCTGAAAGTCTTGTTTTTGTAACTAATATTCATTTTCTATGTCAAAGTTTTTAATCATTTTCAGTTCTAACACTGGCATAAATTCTTTATCAGTATCAAAGTTTTCTTAAAATCCAGTCAGTTGTGTTCGGTGGACAGTTGCTCTTCTTCTGATAAGGCATGGAGCTCCATTTTGATTTGGGAGCCAATGATCGATGCACTCCCTTATTAAAGAGTTGTCTTATGAAGCCACAAGAAGGATCCCATTGCTTCACCTCCTTAGAGAGCTATATATGGCAGAGCTTCCAGAGCCTAATGTAATGCCATAATCCTAAGATGAGATGACGAGTTGAAGTACAACAATGTATCAGCACCTAAAAATTGATGGTGGTTTGCTTCTCAAAAATATGCATTGCAAGAGCCCAATTTCCTTCGTCTCTAAACCCCTCTTGGTTGAAAATTGCTAATAAGAGGTGAGTATTTGGGATAATAAAGAGTGTACTTGTAATTAGTGGGGGTGCGACATTCTTTCAAGAACAAGATACTTCCCACCTAACATCACTTTCTGTTTAGGTTTAAGCACAGAATTCGTGGATAAAGGGCACTGGAAGATGAGAAAGTGCAGTGTTCAGTTGTTCTGTGGGGTTGGTATATTGCATATGAGGTTGTTGAGTCCAAAATAAGAGTTGAAATTTATTTTAACAAAACAACTCTCAGAGCAAACAAGCTAGGAATTTAAAATTCACTGGCCCCTTGTAACTCAGAAAACCATTTTCCAAAGTCACAAACTCTCAAAGGCCTCACGCTTTTCACAACTTAAATATTCATTTATGCATGTAATAGTTTCTTCTTAGTACAATAAAACAAAAATCTCCCAATTAGCAGAGAAAGTGGTACAAAAATTTGAATTATGAATCCCAATTTTTTACTTGTTTTGCAATCCTCAATCTTGTATTATATCTTTGAAACAAAAACAAGGGCCTAAAATGACATGAGACCATGGAGAGTTTACATTACGCTTTGACTTTAGGCAAGAAAACCCTATAAATTAGTACAAAAACATGAATAATTATTTGAAAATTTACACAAGGTTGTGAATTTTAAGCTCCATTTTTTAATTTTTCAATTTTGACTTTAAATAAAATTATTGTAAAAATCTTCGCATCAATATATATATATATATAGGGATTGTAATTTTAATCAAATTTTATTCTAATCTTATTTCCACATGTAAAACCTAATTATTGGATCGAACAAATAAAAATTAAATTCTTTTGTATAAAAAAACTGGGGCAATTTTAAGCTTTAAATATTATTTGAACTCTTGTAAGTATTTTGTTTTGTTTGCATTTTAATTTACATCTGCAAAGAGAGTAGAAAGCCAATAACAAAGAATAGGGAAGAAGTAAAGCTTAGAGAGTGAGGACAAGACAAATCTTTTTGTTTTTAGAAGTTTGAATGATAATATGAGAAAAATGTAAGTTTAAAAGGGTTATCATTGGTTTTAATTGAGGTTTAAAGGGATATTTTAAAACGTAAATATATGATGTACTTAATGATGGGTGATACTAATATATTATATGTAACAAAATCAACACATTTACCACCATTGCAAACAACCATCGATTTATACAATTTATTGAATATTACATTAAACAAAATATATTATACAATTTTGATGATATTAAAATAATTTGATATTAAACTATTGTTCCATAATGAAAAATGTTTAGTTCTCTCTTATGGGCTTAATGGCCCAACACGGGCTCTACTAAAATGGGCCATCCACCACATGGAGGGAAATCAAACCCGACAATATTTTCATTATATGAGATCTTCTTCACATTTGAAAGTTCAAAGGATTACTGAATCCTGCTGGATCATCCTTCAGGCGAAAAGGGCAATTTATGTTTTTTACGTTTCGCACTTGTTAAAAGTTTTTTTGCTTGTATTTCAGTAATGACTAACGAATAGAAAGATCAATAGAGAAAATATAAATCGGAAAGATGCATTATGTTTGAGTAACATGCAAAACTGATGATAAAGCTGAAAAAAATTGTAGAAGTAATATTATGCTTAACTAAGTTATCCAAACATACAAAAAATAAAGGACAAAATAGTCATTTTATATAAATTTTATGTAATTTTTATATGTTTATATGACTCAATTGTATGATTCAATTATAAGCAAAATATTATTGAAATCTGACTGTACGAGAAGTTGTATAAGGGATATTACAATTAACACCTCACGTAAAGACCTAAATTTTAGTGGCTAGTAATGAGGAATATGACATTTTTTTTGTCTTTTAAATTGTGTTCTAGTTTTATATATTAGGAATTTCTTGTTTTCTTTCATTCAGCCACTTCCACAAACTTTGACACTTGTGGAGTAAAGTTTGTGGATATGTCACAAATTTGGTACGCATTCTTTCTACTTAGTACTCATCTTTTTTGTTTCTCTGATAGAATGACACTGTAGGTGTGATGGCTATATATGCCACTAACATATTTACTCATTAATTAGGTGAAATAGAGGTATTGTTATAAACTGAAATTTTTTCTTCTTTGGTATATTATTGCGATTTATGTATTAATCAATTGCTTAATCCTCTTCTTTTATTTTGTGAATCCAATATGCTTTATTTATGATACAGAATGTGCAGTGTTCAAGAAGATTAAGGCCATTCTTCATGTGCAAGCTGGAATTTGTTTGTATTTCTTCAGATAGACTGCAGCTCCATATTCCTGAAGATGAAGGAGTTTTCGTTCGGCTATCTTCATTGATATTGTCTTGAATTTGGTTGAATAGGTTAGTGCTCTCTTATTGCACATCATCATGTTTCTTACTGCTGGATTTATTTTAGGCATTCTGATTTCTCCCGTTGTTGCACAATTTTTCAATACATTGTTTGTGAATTTCTGATTTAATGCATTATTGGCTCCATTAACATTGAGTTTCTGGTCTATTTCCATGACTTTGTGATCAATTACTTGTTTTCTCTGTTTCTGTCATCAATTAGAGCTTTTAAATTGACTATGCTTAATCTTGAACGATGATTTTCTGGGTTATTTTGCAAAGTTGGACATCAAAAGTTATTTTTGGTAAGAAAGTGAGCATAATTGTTGCATTGTATTTAAAGATTTAGTTTGATTCCCTCATTTGCATTTAATAACCGGTTGTAAATTCTTTAATTGAACTGATAATTTTTATATTCTTATTCTCGAACTTGAAATATCCATGTCCTAAGGGTTAAATCTTACCTCTCTTGAAGGGCTCCTGAACTTCGGTGGAGATCAGCAACCCTTATACTGTACACGATAAGCTGTGCAATAAGGTGATTGAGGAGGCACACAGCTCATAATCCATGGATTGTTTGAAAGGGCAATGGCAGATTAGCTATTCATGTCTACCCATGGTAAGAGCTTCTTCCTTTGATGAGGTTCTGAACATGCATTATTGTTTACTCATCTTTGAATATTGGAAGAACCAAGAAGATATGCAACTAATTCAGTAACAGACTAAATTTAAAAAAAAAAAAAAAAAAAATTAAAATTAGAGGATGAAAATTTCTTGCTCATGATACAAATTATTAAATTTTGAAATCCTGTTTGTGCTACTTCATGATGTGGGTGTTGTTGGGCTCTTCTTTCTTGGGCTTGCAGGTCATCAGTGGCCTGGCTTGATGAGGGTGTTAGTGGGCTTGTCTTGGGTGGGTGGGCTTGCAGGACGGGATGTTGCATTTAGGCAAAATTACTTATATCTACTTGAATATCACAAGTATAGCTTTGATTTGCTGTTGTAGAATGCTTGGGTGCTTGATTTAATTAAAAAATTTATTGTATGTTAATGTATTGTATTTTGTTGTGTTGATATTTATTTGCTTTGGTTGATTAGTTAAATGGGTTCATGATTTCTTGGGTTTGTTAATTTGCTTGTGAATGGCTATCATGTGTTTGACAAAATTCCCCATTGAGAAACACACCCATACACTCAATTAATTAAAAGTTTGGCCACATCTTTGTTCACAGATTATTAAATTTGCATTAATTAACGTTTCCATGCTTTTCATAGAGGAATTAGATTGGTTACAATGATCAAACAAAGCAATTCCATTTGTCATATCACTTCCTTGCTGTCTGCGTTGTGATATTCTTTGCAGAATCTCTCGTTCGCACACGCTCTCTTTGTTCGGTACTAGAAGATATTCAGGTAAATTTATTTTTATGTCAATTCTTGTTCCATTTTTCTTGATGTTATAAGGTTTACTGCGATAACTTTTCTGGGGTTTTGATTTTCTTTGGCGTTTTCTAGAAATTTATTTATAGAAAAGGAAGAAAATGAGTTTTTTTTTTTTTTTTGGTTGGCTTATGGAAATTTATATGTTTATTTACTTTGAATATGATAGAAGATTTAGGAGAAAGTTAGGGATTTTGTTGTAGGTAGGATAGAGCCAGTGAGATGAAGAATGCTTAATGTTTGTAATTAGGATGAACAAACTGGAATGTATTCTTAGTATTACAGTTGAAATTATATAAATTAGTTATTTCTCTAGTCATGTGGTATGTGACAGTTCAATGTAGTTGATTTTTGTGACAGTTAAAGGGACAGACATTTTGTATGCAAAATGACTAATTCTTCTGCCGGACAATCCTGAAAACAAAAGGCAGGATCCTTACAGCCTAATGAAACAACTTCCTTTAAGCGTAACCGATGAGTCTTTCAAAAAGATTGTGAGTAAATGCATTACGTTTCTGTTTTAAATAACCTCTTTTCTGGGAGTTCTATTACTATTTTTGTATTTTTACTCATGTATTTTGGTACTGCAGTGCAGCACATGATGTACGATTTTGGCAATGATCCTAATGTAAGTAATGGTAGCTGTCTTTCAACTTTTTTTTTTTTTTTTCTCCCCTTATCAACAGGATTGGGACACTGAATTGTGTTGTTGAGCAATCTCAAATTTAGTGATTTGGTTGTTGTGCATGGAACTGTGTATGCTAATTGATGAATCTATTATCTACTAATTTTATTTTTTATTCATTTGGATATCTCCAAATCATAACTTTTAAATTTAAGCTCTCTTAGCAGCCTCTATCAGACCTGAATTACCTCATTTCCCTGCATGCCCTAATTTTCATATGAAGCTACTCTGATGTTCAGATTCAGCTGATTGCCGTTGTCACTTGTTGTTCATTCGGTTGACTCTAGCCAGTTGGTTTTAGGGGATTTTGTGAATTTGGTAAGATAAACCCAGAAAATAGTTGGCAAGAATCTTTACATACTTTTTTAAGTTTGCACCAAAATAATGTGAAATTTGTTTGCAGTGTTTATTACCTGTTTTAAGTGGCCTGTAGCTGAAACTTTTTGTAGTCTGCATAATCCAGAAATGAAATAATCTTTTTCAAGCCTCCTGAACGTATGTCCTGCAAACACATACCTGCATGCATAGACATATATTGTATATACTCTCTCTCTCCCTGAACAGATATCAGCTTCTTAATGAATGGATGTATATATCACTTGAATGACTATTTCAAGCCATCATATAATCCATGCTTATTAACAGCTAGGAACCTTGGTCTCCACATGGTCACATTTTACTTTTACGTGATTCACGTGGAACTGTTGTTATTTTGTTATTGGAATGTATAATGATATGAATTTTTGTCTTTTAAATTGTGTGTCTAGTTTGATATATTATGAATTTCTTGTTTTCTTTCATTCAGCCACTTCCACAAACTTTGACACTTGTGGAGTAAATAGTTGTGGAATATGTCACAAATTTGGTACGCATTCTTTCTACTTAGTACTCATCTTTTTTGTTTCTCTGATAAGATGACACTGTAGGTGTGATGGCTATATATGCCACTAACATAT